ATAAATACCCTCCTCTAACTCTCTCAGGTCTCCATCCACCCTGAGCAGCTGAATGCCACCAGCAGAGTGCTGGGACATCTGTCCAGCAGGAAATTTGGGAGATTGTCCTGGTGGGGGATCTTTGCCCTTACTTCTCTTAAAACGATGGCTTTTCCTCACTGGCCTTTGTTTCTCTCATTTCCCCACCTGAAATGCTTTCTCCTGGCTTACTCTTTCACCTCTCTGAATCCTACAGGGCCAGATCAAATCACTTTTCCTTCCTGAAATCCTTCCTGATCCTCCTCAAGAAGCAGCAATTGTTCCCTCTGACGAACACCTGGGCAATGGGGTGCTGATGCTACTTGACATTTCGGATATTTTTTCTTATATTGTTAACTTTTTTCTCATTTATTTATATTTATTGCACTTCTTGAGAAATAATGCCCTGGGTTTTTGTAAAACCTGTAGCATCTTATGTCATGTGGCAAATATTTTAAAAATACGTGGTAATTTGGAAGAAAAGCATCTAGAAAGGAATTTGACAGAGGTAAACACATGTAATAAAAATTGTTATAGATATTATGAGAAAAATCTATAATACATAAAACCATTTTAAGTTATTTTCTTTAAAGAAAGAAAGATAAGAGTCTTGGACTTCCCAACTAGGCATAAGAAAATGTTTCCCACTCAGCAATGAATATAGGTTACAAATATGCAAATGCAGAAATGGAGATTCTGTTCTATCATCTACAGGCAGTAATTCGGAAATACCAAACATGGTCCATCTACCTGGCCACCAAACCCCATTCTTGAGTCTAGACAGAACTGCTTACGGAGTCTTCTAGGCCAATGATTATACACACACCAAATGCACTTCTGGATCCAGACTAGTTTAAATGAGCCAGCTGTTCTGGTCCACTACCTTCTGATAAGCTTCATGCAATTTAAATTTTAGAGATGTAGTTCTTGCCTAGAAACTAACCTTCTAAAAATGATCATGCTTCATATCAATAGATGCTGAAAAAGCATTCGACAAAATCCAGCATCCATTTCTGATAAAAACGCTCAGCAATGTAGGAATAGAGGGATCATATCTCGACATAATAAAGGCCATATATGAAAGACCTACAGCCAACATCATACTCAATGGACAGAAACTAAAAACATTTCCATTAAGAACAGGAACAAGGCAGGGATGTCCACTTTCGCCACTCTTGTTTAACATTGTACTGGAAGTCTTAGCCACAGCAATCAGACATGAAGAAAAAATAAAAGGGATCCAAATTGGAAAGGAGGAAGTGAAACTGTCATTATTTGCAGATGACATGATATTGTACATAGAAAACCCTAAAGACTCCATCAAAAATCTATTAGACTTAATAAATGAATTTGGCAAAGTAGCAGGATACAAAATTAACGTCAAGAAATCGACGGCATTCTTGTACATCAATGATGAACTCACAGAAAGAGAAACTGAAAAAACAATCCCATTTACCATCGCTCCAAAAAAATTACGATACCTAGGAATAAACTTAACCAAAGAAGTAAAGGACCTATTTGCAGAAAACTACAGGTCATTGAAAAAAGAAATAGAAGAAGATATAAAAAAGTGGAAGAACATACCCTGTTCATGGATTGGAAGAATTAACATAATTAAAATGTCCATACTACCCAAAGCAATCTATAGATTCAATGCAATCCCCATCAAAATACCAACGACATATTTCATAGAACTAGAACAAATACTTCAAAAGTTCATATGGAACCAAAAAAGACCCCGAATAGCCACAGCAATCTTGAAAAAGAAGAACAAAGTTGGAGGGATCACATTACCAGATATCAGGTTATACTACAAAGCGACTGTAACCAAAACAGCCTGGTACTGGCACAAGAACAGGCATATAGACCAGTGGAACAGAACTGAAAACCCAGAAATGGACCCAAGGCAATACGCTCAATTAATATTTGACAAAGGTGGCAAGAGCATACAGTGGAGTAAAGACAGCCTCTTTAATAAATGGTGTTGGGAAAATTGGACAGCTACATGCAAAAAAATGAAACTCGACCATCAACTTACACCATACACAAAAATAAACTCAAAATGGATAAAAGACTTAAATGTGACCCGTGAATCCATAAAAATTCTAGAAGAAAATGTAGGCAACAAAATTTCGGACATCATACGGAGCAGAATTTTCACTGATACATCACCTAAGGCAACAGAAATAAAGGAGAAAATGAACACATGGGACTACATCAAACTAAAAAGCTTCTGCACAGCAAAAGAAACGATCATCAAAATGGAAAGGCAACCCACTGTATGGGAGAACATCATTGCCAATGATGTATCAGATAAGGGGTTAATTTCCAATATATACAGAGAGCTCACACAACTCCACAAAAGGAAGACAAAGAACCCAATTAAAAAATGGGCAGAGGAGCTGAATAGACACCTCTCCAAACAGGACATACAAATGGCCAAGAGACATATGAAGAAATGCTCAACATCACTAATCATCCGAGAGATGCAAATTAAAACAACAATGAGGTATCACCTCACACCTGTCAGAATGGCCGCCATCAACAAATCATCAAACAACAAGTGTTGGCGAGGGTGTGGAGAAAAGGGAACTCTAATACACTGCTGGTGGGAATGCAGACTGGTGCAGCCGCTATGGAAAACAATATGGTGCTACCTCAAAAAATTAAAAATTGAACTTCCATTTGACCCAGTGATCCCACTGCTGGGAATATACCCTAAGAAGCCTGAAACACCAATCAGGAAGAATATATGTACCCCCATGTTCATAGCAGCACTATTTACAATAGCTAAGATCTGGAAACAGCCCAAGTGTCCACCAGTAGACGAATGGATCAAAAAGCTGTGGTACATATACACAATGGAGTACTATGCAGCGGTAAGAAAGAAAGATCTCTTATCCTTTGAGACGACATGGAGGGACCTGGAAAGTATTATCCTAAGTGAAAGAAGCCAAGCAGAAAAAGACAAATACCACATGATCTCACTTATATACGGAATATAATGAACATAACAGTCTGAGGAATACAGTAGACCCAGACACATGGAAGTAGGGCACAGACTGACATCCCTCAGAAGAGGGGATGGGGGGTGGGGGGGTGGGAAGAGATAAACCACAGAACTTATATGCATGTATGCATGACCAATGGACATGGACAACTAAGCCGGGGACAGGGTGGAGGGGGTGGGGTGGGGGGTGCCAATGGGGTAAAAAGGTAAAATATCTGTAACAAAAAAATAAATAAAAATTCATAAAGAAAAAAAAAATAAAATAAAATAAAATATGATATTGTTAGAAGTCCCAAAAAAAAAAAAAATAAAAATAAAAATAAAAATGATCATGCTAATAGAGGTATAAGTTTGACAAGCAAAGCCGTTATGAAGATGAGTATCTGTGACATTTTAAACTTTGACAACAGTAGATCTAGGGCTGTGGACTAGTACTTGTGGGGTTAAAGAGGTTCAAGAGGGGCTCGTGTTGAATGTATCATTTTAAAAACAACAACATTTAATTTAAAAGAAAAAGGACTACCCAACAAGTTCAGCTCTTCTGTTACATTTTTGTTGCCACCATTCGTATTCTGACATTGTTATCTTCACCTAGACTGTGGTATTGCCTTCAAGTTCTGCCCTCCATACTCTCATTCTAGTTCACCCAGTGAGGCAGTAAATGTATTTTTAGGGGTTTAAATGTGCCAAGCACTCTGCTGGAAGACTTAACTCCCTCATCTCAGAATGGTTGATCTCCTAAACAATTGTATTCAACACCTCTCTACTTTACAAAATCATCTGTAAGCCTGACCCCCTTCCAGTCTTATCATATTTTGTTCATGTGCCCAACTGCTTCAATCAAAGTAAATTACTCACGCTTTTCTGTGATATATTTGTCAGTTTTCAGCATAATTCCCTGGGGTCTAGCACTACAAAATCAATCACTCTTAGTGGTAGAAGTTGTGTTCCTATCATAAATCCAACAATCTGAGAAAAACATCTCAAAGTAGACAATATTAGAGGTGCTTTTGGAAATTCTTTCTAAAAATGCTTGGTGAAATTGTGGGGGGAAGTCCAGAAGGGAGAAGAGCCTTAATTCAGGATGGGGACAAGGAAGTTAAACACAAGGAGTAGGCAGACTAAAGAAACCCCAAAACAGAGCAGCCGGGGTGTCGGGAGATGAGAGCACTTACCATAAATATCCTTAGAAACAAACCCCAGGGTAAAATACAAAATGAAGAAGTTACGACCCACATACTGAAAACTTCCATATTTTGAAGGTTAAGTTCTGAGGTGCGTGATCATACCCAAAAAGAAGAAGAATGAATTTAGCATTTTAAAATGGGACACTTTTATTGAGCACCAACTGTATGCAGGGTGTTGTACTTCTGTGAAGGTCCAGGTAGCTCCCCACGGTGACCAGCTGCCCCATGATGAGGTGGTGAGTAGACTGTACCGCAAACAGCCAACTCTCCGTCTACCACAGGCTCCTGTCCGCCAGCATGAATTCCAAATTCACAGTCAGGATCAAAGTTAGGCCATATTAGCGGCTCTGTGTTTTTAACCTTTGTATTAAATTACCATCAAGGAGCACTAATTGAGATAAGAAATAGAGCTACTTCTTCATTGCATTTGCATCTTCAGATTTCTGAATTATGCATTAAAACAATCGTTGACATCTGTGCATGCTTTTCACAGAAGAAAAAGGCATAAAGGCCTCAGGGTGCATCTGTCTGGCTGAGCAACAGATGGGGGAAAAAATCTCTTTCTACAGTTCTGTTGAAGTACAGAGAAATATAATTTTAAAGGTTACAAAAATAAGGTAAAGGCTATATAAAAATAAAGCAATAAAATCTATAGCGAAAAAGAATATTTTGAATTAATCTGAAAAAGCTGAGTTTCCTAAGACTTTGAAAAATGAGTAAAACCATTTGGCAAAATCCTTAACTTGGATTTTTGTGTTTATTTGTTTGTTTGTTTTTGTTTTTAGGTTCCAGATTCAGAAATGTTCAACTGATCCAAACAGTTACAAAAGCTTAGGAGACAGCTTTCGGACAATTTTCCGAACGGAAGGGTATGTATGGTTCTTCAGATATAGACTCAATGTTGATATAGGCATTTAAATATGTTACTACATAACACATTTTTCTCATTCGGAAGGGGATATTTTCCTAGTCTTATTAGGAAAAAAATGTTAAAGGAGTGCTTTCCTACTTTTTTACCTTGTTCTTGATAATATGATTGAAAATTAAATATGTTTACAATAGAAACTACCATTAAAAGGGTATTAATAATCAGTTTGATGACTAGAGGACAATTTTTAATTTGTGTCATGAAGGTTTTTTAGGGCTCTCAATAACTGAAACTATGTAAATGTAACAGTTCCTTATTTTGATTCTTAACTATATTGCCCAAATGTGGTCCTTGTTTGCATTGTGGTTTGTGAATATTCAATCAAAATTGATCTATGTCAAAAGTTGATGTGTCAACTTCATTATTCTATTAGATGAATAAATAAATATAATATTTTTGTTATAAAATCTAAAATTATATTGATGTGTAGATTCAGTTAAAGACTTATCCAGCCCTGGCCAGTTTTGCTCAGTGGTTAGAGCATCGGCCTGTGGTCCCGAGAGGCCCGGGTTCGGTTCCCACTAAGGGCATGTACCTAGGTTGCAATTTGTCCCCGGCCCTGGTTGGTCGTGTGGGTGGCAGCCACTCGATGTGTCCCTTTCACGTCGATGTTTCTCTCTCTCTTTCTCTATTTCTCTCTCTCCCTCTCACTCTACTTGAGCAAAAAATAAAAAAATGTCCTCGGGTGACATTATCCAGCATAACTGTCCAAAGGATATTTTATTTGCTTTTTGAAGTTGTTTTCATAAGAGACTTGGTTGAAAATAATTATATAAAAATGATAACAGGCCCAGCCAGTGTAACTCAGTGGTTGAGCATTGACCCATGAACCAAGAGGTCATCACTTTGATTCCTGATCAGGGCACATGCCCATGTTGTGGGCCCTATCCCCAGTGGGGGGCATGCAGGAGGCAGCCAATCAATGTTCTCTCTTATCGATCTTTCTATCTCTCTCTCCCTCTCCCTTCCTCTCTCTCTAAAATCAATAAAGAAATAAAAAAATGTTTAAATGATAACAGTAATAATAAAGATAGCTGGTATATTCAGCCCCACCATGTACTAGGAAATCTCCTTATAACTCTGTGAGGTAAGTTCTATTAGCATCATTCCAGATGGATAGATGAAGAAACCAAGACTCAGAGAAGTTAGTAATCGTCACATAACTGTTAAGTAGCGGAGCTGGGACTCAAATCTAGGTCTGCTGGACCCCCAAGCCCATGCTCCTAACTGCTGTAGTTCACTACCTCTCGTGGCAGATTGTGCTGTGGATACTGTTCTGCTAATTGTCTACTTCAATTAAATACATATCATGGATGTCCTTCCACGCTAGCATATACTTTTTAACAACAACATAGTAATTTATTCATCTACCTGCTGCAATTTATTAAATTAATAATTTTTTTGTGCACCTTTAGGTTTTCATATTTTTGCTGTTATAAACAACAGTGCAATAAATATTCTTACACTACTTTTGCGTATTTATGTACATATGTATATATTTCTATGAAATGAAATTATGGGTTTACAGGATCAGATGTGACCAAATTATCTTCCAAAAAGGACATAACGATTTTATACCTTTAGTTTTTAAGAGGTCTTATTTTTTCTTACCCTCTGAAACACTGGGCATTATCTACCATTGTTTAGTATATGTGTCACTCAAGTCACCCACATGCTTCTCTTGTTTATCATCTAATAGGTGAAAAATAAAACTATCTTAATGGTATTCCTTTGATGGAGTAGCATTTCTTTTATGAGTTACTTATTATGTCCTTTGCCCATTTCTCTTAGGTTAGATTTTTTTTTATTGATTTGTAAGAGCTCAGTATATTATCATAGGCACTACTCTTCTATTACATAGAATACCAATATTTTTTCTAACTTATTGTCTTACAACTGTAGTGCCTTACACCTTTCAGATATTTGTAGTTTTTAAGGATTGTGATTTTGTGATTATATCTGTTTGTTTTGCTTTGTGATATCTGATCTTGATGTCAAATTTAAAAAGAAAGGCATCTCCTAATCCCAAGATTATAAACACTTTCTTTTGGTGCTTTTTACATTTGAATCTTTAATCCGTGTAAGAAATATTTTTGTGTGCGGTGTGGTAGATAGGAATTGAATTTTATTTTCAAATGGTATGTCAATTGTCCAAACACCACTTGTTGAAAAATCCATCCTGTACTCACTAACTGGGAATGCAAGTATTTTCACATATTAAACATGTCATCTAATTTTTTAATTCTGTTTCTCCATTTCCTGTTCTGTCTCATTACTTTATCTCTCTCTATGCCAGTATCACACTGTTTTCGTTATTGTATCTTTAGCGTATCTGGGGAATATGTAAAAAGCCTTGCATTATAAAGCGTAAACTCTTTATCATGGTGGGCAGAGCCCTCCTGATATGACCGTCCCTTCCTCTCAGGCTCCTCTCTCACACACAGACCTGCTGTAGGAATCGCTGCTGTTTCAGCCCCCTGGTCTCTCACACTCTCGTGGCTTTGCATGCTCTTCCCTATTCCTGGAGGGCCAACCCCTACGCCACACACTCTTCATTCCTGGGTGTCCTCAAGTTTCACCCTCTCTGACCGTCTTTTCTCTACCACATGCTTTCTCTGTGAGTCTTTCTTTCTTTCTTTACATATGCATCACCCTGATTTATTGTGTTCATTCTCTGTCTCCCCTCTCCCACCTCAAGAATGTATTTCCCTAAGGGCTGTGTCTCGTTTAGCTCTGTATTCCTGATGCCTGTGCTTGGCCCTGAGTAGAGATAGAAAGTGTGCAACAAACAAATGAAGGAATGTCATCACACCAACACCATCATGATGCAGAGTGAAATGGAAATGATAATTCTTGCTATAGACCACCCCCTCTGAATTATGATAATGATCTTGATGCCTGATTAACTATTTGGGGGTGACCTAGTAACTATTTTGGGGTAACCTAGGATCAGCAAGTTCTTGCTGTTACACTAGTGAGCTGTGTGATGCCTAACTGCCATACATGGATAGTGTTCCTGTTTTATAACAACTGGATCAAAATTATGTTCATTTTACCCAAAATATATATAAAGAGGTCACAGCGTATTATGTAGCCGGGAAACGTGTCCCCTTCCAGTGAAACAGTAGTGTCAGCCAAGCCAAGTTCTGTAAGCGGTAACAGATATCTCTGAATAGGATGTGGGAGTTCCATAGCCAGGCTCTTCATTTCATATGTGTTTTAGGAAGAATTTGGTGTTTCTGCTTTGGTATCAAGTAATATAACAAACATACAGTATGTGTGGTCCTTGCATAGGAAAATTGGCTTTTTCCTAGATTGTACGTATAATCGCTTCTAGAGCAAATTGACATTCTCTCTGCACTGCCGTTAGATCTGGCCATGTTGTTAGCCAAAAGCCAGAGTGCTCCACCCTGAGAGGTGGAAATATTTGTAAGAGAAAAAACTGCTTGTTATTTTTGATACAGAGAAAGAGCATTTCATTGCCTTAGGTTAAAAAAAAAACAAACCTTTAAGCACATACTGTGTTGAATATTTTTCCCCCTAGCAAAAGCAGTTCCTTTTGATTTTCTTATTTAGCTTTTAGAGTGCACTCTGCTTTCAAAAATGTTCTTCTCAGGTACACAGAGGCCAGTTTAATCTGTGGTCTGCAAGGACGTCAGAGTTAGTCCATTTGACCGTTAGAATATTTAGGAGAATTCCTATCTCCTGTTTTCTCTATCTCCCCCAAGTTAAAGGTTTTGAAAACTAGTCCTTTTCTGTTTGGTGAAAACATTAAACTTTGTTAAGACACGTATAATCGGCACAGATGCCCACGTCTCTTCTATGAGAAAGTGGAATGGTTGTTCTCAGGGATGTAGTTCCTCACCTCCCTGCCCAGCGCTTACATGTTTCCAAGACACAACCAATAGCTCCGTCCCCAGGGTCCAAAACCCTTTACTGTGTCTAAGATTCTGATTCTTCGTAAAAGCACATCCATCGAACTTTCATTAAAGACATCATTTTTCCACCATCTTTACAGAGGTGAAATCAATTTGAGTAAAAAACAAATCCCTTCCAAATCCTGAGTAAGGATTGCTATAATATGAAATCATCATATTTAGTTAGCTTTTACCAAAAAGGCCAGCACTGTTTATTTTGAAAAAGAAGAGAGAACTCAGAGGAAAGAAATGTGTCACTGTTGAGAATACCTCCATCGTCATGGTGATTCTTCACCTTTCTCTGGTTTGACGGAAATAAACTAGCAGCTCCATCTACTGTAACTGTGAACCCAGAAAGACACAAAGATTTAGCCTAGTTGATTAGGGGTCTTTAAAACCAAGAAGGTTCGTTTTGTACTCACCCAACCACAAGTGGCTGGTATTTCTGTTTACCATGTGTTCATGCATCATGCCTCAGAGTATCTCATGGATATTTTTCTAGCCTTTTTCATACGTGTCCTTCCCTTAAAGCTGGTGATTGAGATGCTCACAGATGGGTGTGGGGATTATGAATATGCTAACAAAAACCAGGACTGCCCACCTCCTTACTCTTCCTCCCCAGAAAGTGCCTACTGGACATTCTTCCTGAAATAAAGAGAAAAAAATATATTAAACAGAACTTAAGATATTCTGATGACAAAAGTAAAGACAAGAAACTAGTATTTCTGTTCTTCAGTATACAGGCACTGTGCTAAGGACTTCTTTATTCGGTATCCTCAACACAGCACTGTTCTCAACCCAATGGAGCATCATTATGTCTGTCTTTTGTATAAGGCAACTGAAGACCTGAGAAATTAAATAACTTGCCAAAGTCACAGGTATTAGTGGCACACCACGGGTTTTCCATTACACTATATCACCTTTCACTACACACCAAATGTCGCTGTTATTTATTGAATGTAAAGAAGACTGTGGAAGTAGTGGCTATTAACTCCCAATTTTGGAATACCTTTGGTGTATACCT